TCAGTGATGGTGGTGGTGTTGGGGATTCTGTTTATTTACCAAGACGATCAGAACAGGAAAGAAAAACAGCATTCACTTGGAAGATCTGGAAACACAAAGTGGTCCAGCTGAGGTCATAAATGCCCTGCAGACACGTTGGAGTTGGAGTGCGTGACTTTCTAAAATGGCAGGAAAGTGGTCATGGGGCTCTGCATTTAAGAGGGGTGGAAATTAGCATGCAGGGCTTTAGAAGGTTGCTTCCAAAGTATTTGTTTTCCTGTGGGCTTTGAACAGGGCTAAGGTCAAACTATGCATTTGCTGTACCCTTGAAGAAATGAGAACACCTGGGTTTTAAATGCTTCTGTTGTCTTAATCTATATCAATAAGTCATTTGTGCATTCAAACAGCATGTGACAAGCAACAGGGCTGTGGAGGATGTGGCTGCATCTATTATAAAGAGAAACAGGTTAATAGGTCAAAAACTTGGAACAAAACAAAACTCTTAAGTGATCCCAGGTTGATCCCAGGCACTTGATTTGTGAGAAAGAGCATGTTTGCATGACAAGTAGGGCTTCCATCCCACTTCATTTCCTCCTTGGTTCTTTCTTGTTCTACCCTTAGGAGCTGTTGTGTGACAGGACAAATTGGAGTTCCATACCTGACCTCAGTTCACTGGTCAAGGACCTCTGCCAAATCACCCAAACATTCAGAACCTCAGTTTCCCCATTTGAAAAATAAGATTAAGCTCAGCACTGAAGGCATTTATGGGGCCAATATTATTAAAGATAAAGTCTCTAAACCATGTGGTCACTCATGTACCTCTAGACCCATAGGTTCTACTGGAATGGTTCCTTCTGGAAATATGTGCAGATCTGTCTGTCCCCAGAAGTGGTCAAGGAGTGGACTTGGCTGAAGATGCACATGGAGGTATCAGTTAAATCATGCATGGTAATTATTCTGAGATGGAAAATGAGCAGCCAGATCCAATATCAGGATGTTTAGGTTTGGAAGTGTTTGGTGATCCTTCAATGTAGTCATGCTACCCTCACTTCAACCCCACCCATCTAAGCCTGCGTCTGGTCAGGAGGGAGTGGGGCTGGGGGCATGAGAATACACTATGGGTTAGCCCTAAATAGGCCTCTCTGTTACCCTTTGTGTATTTGCATCTTGTATCTCAGAGTCATCAAAATATGGAGAGATATGCCCTTGAATCCCAGTTCAGGCAAAGGACACAGTAATTAAAAGCGGGGTCTCAGGAGCAGACTCTCATCAGTTACATTCTTGCTTCCCTATTTCTTGGTCATGAAACTTTGGCAAAGTGCTCCACCTCACCAACCCTTAGTTTCTCTCTCTGTACAATGGTTGTGAGGATGAGCTTGATGATGCTTTAATGGCCAGTTAGAGGATAAAATGAAATACTACATTAAAAACCCGTAGCAGAGACTTGGTGTGCTGCAAAGACTCAGATAATAATGCTAATTATCAACTACCACAATCCAAGAGAAGAGGCTAGAAGAATGAAATAAAGCCCTCAAGATGGGTAGGTAGAAGCCTCTAGCTTAAGCTCCTTGGCTCTGAAGAAAGTTGAGATTTCCCTTCCAATAACCCAAGATATTTTCAAGTCAAACCTCTTTTGGGGACGCCCTTGCCTATCTGTGTACAAGGATATAGCTAGGAGGAGAGGGTCTACTCTCCAGGGTGAGGGTCCAGGGCTATGAGTAACTTCCTTTCCTCCATTCCAGGCCTGGAATTTGTTGACCTGGGAGCTCCTCTCATTATTTTATGGCTAGTGGGGCAGGGTTGAGGAGTGGTGAGGGAGTCATTGGCGATTTCCCTGAGGATAAGGTTGATAGAAGTCCAAAGGGAAGACAAACCTGGCTTCCTAGTCAGTGCTGAGACCCATCCTGGAAAATAGGCTCTTTCTCATCTGATAAAGGAGGAGTGTCCTGGACCATCATGCCTCTTCCAAGTAAAACTCATTTTCCAGGTCTCTTTTCCTTATACTTAGTCTCTAGTAAGAGCCAACTCACAGGGCAGAGCCTCTGCTGGGGCCCAGATTGCTCACCCAGGATGTCCTTGCCCTTGAACACAGTGAAAGAACACTTTGAGGGATGGACAGGTGTTCCTGCATCCACATGGGGAGTATGGAGTACTCGTGGTTTATGTGCAGTTTCTCAGTATGTCTGTTTTGTGGGCAGCACCTGGTGCCACATCTTAGCCACAGAGGCCTTCGAGGTCATGCGTGTATACGTGCACATGGGCATGCACACACCCAATGTCTTCCCAGGCCAGGGATGCAATGTAAGTGAGTCTAGTGTAAGACAATAGCAGGGGGTGGGTCTCTTGGAAACATATGACTGTTCTATGAGACAAAGTTTTCTTATTTTAAAAAAAAAAACCTCAGCTAAGTGCAGTTTAGTGGCCTGTTTACCCCACTTTGGCAATGGCAATCCTCCATCTTCATGTAACCACTCATGCTATGGGGCTGGACCTCAGGGTAGGGCAACATTAATCCCTAGGGCTACTGGACAGCTTAGCAAGACTTCATCCAAAGGAGTTGAGTGAAGAGGAGACAGCATAGTGAGCAGTGCCCTTGCAGGGATTGCTGCAGCCACAGACACAGGGGCTTGTCACATGAGGGCCTGGTTCCTGACTGTAGGGTTCTAGGGAGTAAGCTGCTGACTAGAGGCAGCAGCCTCCCAGGAGCTTCCTAGCAGCCCTTGATCACATGATTTTCCAGCTTCTGGAGAAGGCACACTCTCTGCGTGCCGTGGGGCAGGGGCCACCTTAGGTACCCCTACACCTCTGGTTCTGCAAAGTGCCGGCCTTTGCTTTAAGTCTCATTTCCTCCTTCGCTGCAGTGCCCCTGTAATGAGGCCTGGGCTTTTCAACAGAGGATTTCAACAACAACAGAAAAAGAGGCTTAAGGGAATAAGGAATTTGCAAATCTTATACACTGGAAACAGGCCAGGAGTTCAGTGATGCTGGAAGAAACCCGAGACTTTCCCAAGAGCACCAAACACCCTCTCTAGCTTCCACTCTCTCCCAGCACTCTAGAAAGCCCAAGCAAGATTATTTGAAAGCCTGGCCATTAGAAGGCAACTCATGGCCTATTTTTAGCCTGGATCTTGTATCAAAACCAAGTGGAAGGCTCATCTTCAACATTAACAGCAGCCCTGTGAGCAGAGATAAAGGTTGTGGTTAAGAAAAAAACATGTGTGCTGTGGGTGCACACATGTATGGGGGCTGCAAAGCCTTCCCTTGATAGAGATAAATCAGCCAGCCTTTTAAACTGTCTTTAGCTAATCCATTAGAAGCTTAGAGGCATGCATCTTAAAACAGCTTCCCGGTAGGTTTTGGGTAGAGTGTGGTTGGGGTATCAGTCATTGGGATTTCTGGTATCCCAAGCAGATATGATTTACATATTTGGAACCAAAACCTAGAGAGAACAGAGTGGACTCAAATCAATAGCAATATCTCAGAACTCTAACCCCAGTCATGGAGATTTGTGTAGGGTTATCTTCCTCTCCCCAGGATGGGCTCTTGGGGAACTTGGTTCTCATTCCTTATGTGAAGGTGACATGGTGGTTCGGAAGGAAGCTGGAGTTGATTCTTCCTTCAACTTTATCTACATGGAGAATTAGCAGATTAATTCTCTTGCCTTGGGATGCAGGGAGGGCTTTAGCCAGAGTCCTTACCTCTGTGAAAGTCTAGGGGTCAGAACTCCAGGCTGGCTATCCCTCTGACCTGTGGTGTGACCTTGAGCAAGGTCATGGCTCCTATCTGAACTCAGCTTCTCCATGGTGTAAGAGGAGGGGTGGAGTCAGACCTCTATCGACCTTCTTGCTCTAACAGAAGAGCCCATTGGCCAGAGCCCTGGGAATGAACCAGATCCCCACTGACTCTGGAGTGTGTCGCAGGGTCTTCTGCCGGGATGTTTCATCCTCAGCTCCATTTGGCTGTGCTCAGTTCCTGCTTCCTTCATCTGCCAAAACATCTGGCCAAGCAGGTTCATCCTACAGGTCAGAAAGTACCATCCCAGGGGACCAGGTGTTTCCTCCAAGTTCACATGTTGAGCATTTGGCTGGACTAGGGCTAAGCACTGCTTGAGTCCAAGCTTTGAGCTGGGGGAGGGGGGCTTCCTGTTTGGCAGTACCCCAGAGTAAGTTTTTTTCCAGAGGCAGGGAAAGACTTTGATGGGTAGTGTATATCTCTCTTCATTCTCAAGGGACATGGGGCCCAGAGCTAAGGGCTCAGAACACTGCCTACTCACTTTTCCAAAATGGATCCTTTTCCAGAGGAGTCAAGGGGCTAGGATTCAGGCCTACTGTGGGGAAGTCAGTTCATATACTAAACACCTGTCCTCCCAACCAGCTGAACAGTCCTGTGATGCAGCGAGGTGAAGGAAAAGAGACCGGCTTAGGCGAACTTCTCGTCCCTAAATGGTGTGCTCCTGCATTCAGCTCACAGCAAGTGGGCCTGGGTTTCTAAAAGGTGTTCTCTTAGTGGGTGCTGGAGTGGATCGGAGGAAGCTGGCTATCTCTATGCCTAACCTGTCCCAGGGCAGAGCTGCTCTCTTTCTGGAAATTCTCTCTCCACAAGACAGGACTGTAGTGAAGCAAGACAGGTTGAGTTCAGTGGACCATTTTCATAACTACACAATCAGGTATTGACTCACGTTTGCTCAGCCCTTTACACTTTCACCTTCAGGCTCCACCTCTGCCCACAGCCCTTGGAGAAAGTAGGGCAAACTCCTTCACTCATTGCAGTATGTGGATGAGAACCTTAAGGTTACACACAGAGTGTGGGTTGCCGACCTGAGACTCAGCACCAGGTCCAAGGCTCTACTCCACTTCTACTATTCTGTAGACACTTCTCTACAGAGCAGCGTCTCTGGGGGTATCAGAAAAGATACTGAAGGACAGAGGTGGTTGCTATCACCTTGCTGGTTCCTATTCCTCCGGTGGCCCTGTCGACTATGCCCCTGAGTAGGAGATGGCAGCCAGGAGGTGGGATCTTACCTGCAGCAGTGGTGATGCCCAGGAGCCGACAGGTATATTCCAGCCCAGTCCAGAACACCTGGAGCTTCATGGTGCTGAGGACTGGGACAAGGTTCCAGTGGGGCAGGCAGCAGAGACTCCGGCCCTAAGATGCTCCAGAAAGCCTGTGACCAGGCAGGAGGCTGCGGCTGCTGACTGGGGCCCCCTGAGCCCTGGAGCCCTGCCTTTGTAAACCAGTCCTGGCCACCACGGCCTGGCCAAGGTGTGAATAGGGCTCACCTTCCCAGCCCAGTAGCCAGTGCTCTTGACAGGAGCTCGGCTTAATCATTACCTTGAAAGAATGCTCCTGCTGCTCTGCACAGCCCAGCCTGGCCTGAAGGCTTCAGCCACAGAACAGCGCAGCCGCCTGAGATCAGGCTGATTAGGGCAGGGCTGGAGGCAGCCTGGAGCTGGCAATTAACTGTTTCTGGCTGGGAGGAGGGAGCTGAGGAGTGAGGAGCCCAGGTCCTTCCTTACCAGGTTTTGTGGAGGAAGTCACACCTAGACCTACACCTGCTGGGGGCCTGGAGAGTACAATGCACATGCAGGTCCTTGTTGTGTGGTGAGTATGTGGGAGAGAGAGATGTGTCTTTAAATCACCAAGTAGAAACAACTTTTGAAATGAGTTCCAAGCTTCTTTCTTCTATGCATTGGTGGATTAGAAAGCTTTTCTAGTCTGGTGGATTTTGACTCTGTCCAGTCATGCTTAGCTCAGGAGAGTGCCACATAGGGACCCCTCCTTTATCCCTGACATACATCCTCAACATGGGATGTGGGAAATCACCGAGATTCTGAGAGGAGTTCTACATCAATAATTAACCAGGTGACCTTGGGGAAACCTGAAGGTATTTGTGAGCCTGAGTAAGTTTGGCAGAACATAAATGAAAGGTGCTGCTGGATTGATGGTTCTCAGAGGTGAGTGTCTGTAGAGCTGTGTGGAGGAGCCTGCCTCTAAAATTGGACCATGTGGGCTTTCACTGATTCTTAATTTACTAATTAATATAATAATTGAATGATACCAAATTTTAGTTTTCTTGCTACAAGTTTTTTTTTTTAAATCTATTCTCCCTTTGCTCATGTGGAATAAATAACAAAACAAACAAGGAAAAAACAAACCACTCCTCCAACCAGGTGCAGTCTGGTTTCTTTTTTTATTGAGGATGATACACTCTCATGTAGACATTTTTAACTATTCAAAGGGCCTGGGATGCAGTTTTGTGGTAGAAAGCTTGCTTGAAAGTGTAGAATCCTGGGTTCAATCCCTAGTACTAATTTTTTTTTTTTGCTTATTAATTTGACATTCCATAATGATCACCTTCATTATATTTATTTATTGGTTTACTTTGTATTTCTCTCCTTGAATGAGTTTAAGAAACTGTGCTCAAGTGATCTAATGCCTAGCATTTGTGAGGTCCCAGGGTCGATGCTAGCACTGCGCCCCTGCTCCCCAGTATGATTTGATTTACTTTTTGGATTATCGGACTGTGTTTATTAGCAGACTGATTGTCCATTAGCAGACTATCAATTCCAACCTACCAAGCAGTGACATATCTTGACACTATGCATTCTTCCCCCCAAATGCAGGTTTTGGGATCTCTGTGGTACACACTGCATTGAACAGAAGGAAACTAGAGACTGGCGTTAGCAGCTCCATGGCTCCATACCCTGATTTAGGAATCCTTTTTCTCTGGGAGGATGGGAGGCTCTGACCTCCCCATAGCAGTCACTTGATTCTTACTGGCCAGCAGTTGATTTTGCTTTGTAGTAGACACCTGCTTTAGAAGACATGGATTTCCTACTGTCCTTAGTCCACTGGTCATTGCCAGCCTCTGCTTTAGGAATGAACATCTGACCTAATTCTGGTCAAATAACCCAGAAGGGGCTTGTGCTAATGAGCTTACAGAAAGTGTCCTTCACATCTGACAAGGGGCTCAAGGACAGGCTGCACTCCCTCCCTTGGAATTTTCCTGGTCGGTATGGATAGTTATCTTGTGATGAGGAGGATCCAGGCAAAGGGTATAACTAGCTCACTGGATCTGGCCTGTGAGAAGACAGAAAACGCCATGCTGATATTGGAAACTGCGAAACTCACCTGTTCCTTATTGTCAAGCCGTTGATGTAGGTTTCTGATTATGGCAGAAAGCATTTTTGCCTGACAGAGTGGGTGGTGTGTGAATAGATCTCTCTCCACAGCTTTATCCTAAGGGTACTTTTCTCTGCACTGAGCTCCCAGCAGGTGAGATAAAGAACTAGTGAGCCTGGAGGTCAGGGGCATCTTCAAGCCCTGAGGGTTCCCTGCTTGACTGGGGTCAACTGTTTAAGAGTCCTGGAAGATGGGACTGTTGGGCTGATGGTTAAAAGAGAACAGAGCCCATTGCAGAAGTGAAATGTGGAGGAGCCCCAGAGCGAGCCCCTTTTGGAGAAACCACAAAGTCTACTCTGCAGAGCTTTTTGCCTCCCATATGATGAACCATTAAGCCTATTTGTGGAGTCCCACTGGGGAGGGAAAAGCCAGTGCAGACAAGTTCTTCAGACCTCTCAGTTCAAAGATTGCCAGGAACCAGGGGCCAGATACTAAAATAGAATTCAGATGAGAAGGCAGTGAAGCCCCAGACATCTCAGCCTGACCCTACAGTCACTAATGCACTGGGGGTAGAAGGGAAGGGTGTGTATTGGATAAATCTGGCAACCCAGGGAGCTTTGCTTTTTTAGCAAGCTTAGGAGAGGCAGAGGAGGGCAAAAAGCCTTGGAAGGTGGCAAGGGAGGCAGAAATCTGCCAAGGGCAAAGGTAAAGTACTCTCAGTGACATAAAAACAGTTTCAAATTACAGCAGTGAATGAAGTAGGGTGTGCCAGAACTCAGGCAGGCCAACGGTGTTGATGTGGACCTTACACAAGGAAAGCACAATTCATCCTTCAGAATCCAATGGATAGATATTATGGGGAAAGGCTTGGAGCTCAAAGCAGGGGAATGTGTTCTAGCAGTCTGTCACCCAGGGATAGGATGGGCCTGGAAGGCAGGTACTGATCTTGAATCCCATGTGAATGCCAGGAGAGGCATCCTGTGGAGACCGTTTTCAAGCATTGAACAGACCCAGGTGTCTGCGATTCCAGAGTTTAAAAATTCCTGCAAGAATCCATTTGAATGCTGCAAGAAATACTTCTGAAGACACCCTTTCCAGGCTCCTGGAATGCCAAGAAGAGAGAGATGCCTCATCTGGATTCTCTGTCTACCTGCCCATGGTTCCTTCATGCCTCACCAGACAGAGCAGCAGCGTAGGGAAGGTGAGTGGCAAGGATGGGCACAAAGATCAGCTCTGCATTTGGCAGTGGTGTGGCTTGGGACATTCCTTACCTTCTCTGTCTTAATTTCCTTATCTGTAAAATATGTCTGAAAAGTGTCCTTACTGGGTCAGAAGAACGGTGTCCAAAGCACATTTCTATAGAAGATGACAGGAAATGGGAGCTGATATTATTAGGAAACAAAACAACAACCAATAAAACACCTGTCCACCCTACAGAAATTACTTAAGTTTTTAGGAACTAAAAACTCTAATCAGGGGCACTATCAGGCCCCTGACATCATGGAGAACCAGGTTAAAGTATAGTTTTTTGGGTTAATGGAGTCATCCAGAGATTTATTGAGCATATTGTTTTATTTCATTATACACCAAACAGCATTGTGTTTGAGCAATAGGAAGAAGGGTTGACTCAGTAGACCCTCAGGGATCCAACCCACTTGGCAATAAACTATCCTGTCCCTTGGACTTGGGGAAATTAGCAATGATATTTATTATAATTGGTGTTTACTCAACATGACTGTATTTCTGATACAAAATGTTGTTACATGCACATGCAACCCTATTCTTATTACGACTTTAATTTTGCAGATGAGAGAGCAGAGTCACATGTACTAGGAATACTAGTTCAACACCACACAGAAAAGAAATGAGGAAACATTGAGTCTAGCTAAGCCTCTGGTGGGGCCCCCTTGATGCTCACTTGGGTTTACAGGTACTTCAGCCTGAAGCTGCTGAGGGGGCAATTCAGGATCATTGCATGTGAAACTGGAATCAATATCCTCGCTTCTCCTAGATTTGAGGAAGTGGAGGTGGATTTGATGAGGGCTCCTATCATCTCCAGAGGTGGTCCATGGGAACAAATGCCCCCGATTGTCAGGCTGCAGTTCCCCCAGACTTGCCTAGAGCTTCTGTTTGTTACTATAAATGGATGCTTTGCAGACATCCCAGACATATAGGTAGACATAAATTGTGCACCAATGATAGCAGCCCCAAAATTCCAGATGCCTAGGATGGCTCTGGGGAGCTTGAGAAGTCAAGAAAAGATGAAATGTGGGTCTATGCTAATCTTTGGTCATTGTGTGTATGGAAGCTTCCATAAAATAGTAGGAAGGTCATGGGCATAACTCAAAGCAAGTGCCTGTCCCTGGAGACATTCCAGAGCTGATTTAGATGACCTTTTGACCTCTTTAGACCTTTCCCCCACCCCCTGCCACCTCACCCCTTGTCTCAGGGTTAGAATAAAATGGAGATCCTCAGACTCGCCTCCTAACCTCTCATGCCCTTCCTCACTACACCTGCCCCTCACCTGTCTTTGCCTTTTGCTGGGAGAAGAGGGATTAATGCTCTCATCTGTGTTTTCCATTACTGTCTTCATTTGTCCTCTGGGACCTTTGGGCCATCAATTCCAGTCTCTGTGTCCTATCTTCTGACTGTTCCCTCCACCTTTTTCCTGTGGTCTTCTACAGCCAAGATCAAAGCAAATTACAGTGCACAGCACCACCTTCCCCTGAAAACCACACTTGGCCTCTGCTTTCTTCACCATCAAGGCTTTTGGAAGTGGCCTTCATTTTTCATTCACTTCTCCAACTGCTGTGACTTAGCTTTCACTTGATTCTACGTCCCTGCGCCTGACCATGGAGGCCTGGCAGCTCAACACCAGGTCCAGCAGCAGCCTAATTTATGTGCTCATTCAGCTCCATCCCTGGGAATTGTTGGCACCTAAACCACCCCTTCCTACTAGAAAATCCCCCGCGTGACATTATTCTTTAGTAACCAGCCTACATGTGTTAGAACCTGTGGTGTTCCTTCTTTTGGTGTGTTACGTATGGAGTCCTCTTTCTTGGCCGTTTCCCAGGTGGTGATCTGTGGTTGGCATCCTCCTAATGATCCCCGCTCCCTGACACCTCCCTTGTGTGCTCACTCAGATCACACCATGCAGGGATGCTGTGTGTGAAGAGCACAGCAGAAGTGGCAGCATGTCAATCCTGATATTTGGTTATAAAACATACAACTTTTGTCACTCTCACTCTCATGGCTCATTCTCTCAGG